CAGCAATTCATCTCGTATGCCGTCTTCTGAAAAAAAAAAAAAAAAAAACCAGAACTGAGAACCCAGCAGTAAATCCATCCACCTATGGACATCTGATCTTTTGACAGAGGACCTAAATCCATGAAATGGGAAAGAGATGCAACAGGGGACTTTAAGAAGTTCATGAAAGAATTCCATCATCTTTTAATTCTATTTTTCTGTTACCTTTTGAAGCTCCTCTCATACTCTCTAGCAAATGCTGCTAGAAAAATTGGATATCCATTTGCAGAAAAATGAAACTGGATCCATATCTCTCACCATATACAATAAAATACTCTAAGACTGGGACCTTCCTACATTGTTGGTGGGACTGTAAAATGGTTCAACTTCTGTGAAAAATAGTATGGCATTTCCTCAGAAAACTGGAAATATAGCCCAGCAATCCCTCTACTTAGCATATATCCACAAGAAATAAGAACCAGGACAAGAGTTGATACATGCATACAATGTCCATCGCAGCACTATTCACTATAGCAAAAAGATAGAGACAGCCTAAATGTCCATCAATGGAAGAATGAATAAACAAACTTTGGTATATACATACAATGGAATGATATGCACTAGTGAAGAATAATGATGAATATATAAAACACCTCATAAAATGAAGGAACGTGGAGGACATTATGCTGTATGAAACTGTTGTTGTTGTTAAGTGCCGCTGAGTTGGTTCTGACCCATGGTGACTCAGTATAGGGTTTCCAAGGAGTAGCTGGTGAGCTTGAACCCCCAACTTTGTGGTTCAAACTGACTTTGCAGTCCAGTGTATTAACCCACAATGCCACACCAAGACTCCTGGATGAAATCAGTTAATCACAAAAGGAAAAATGGTATATGAGATCACTATTATAAGAATTCAAGAAAAGGTTTTCATGCTAAAAGAAACATTCTTTGACGGTTAAAAAGGGTGGGAGAGAAGGAAAAGTAATTTGCTGGTTAGAAGGTTTTACTGTTCAGTGCTATCGAGTCAGTTCTTACTCACAGCAACCCTGTATAGGGTTTACAAGTAATAGCTGATGGGTTGAACCATCGACCTGATGGTTAACAGTCCAGTGCTTATCCTACAACGCCACACAAGGACACATGATAACTAGGGTGACAGGAAAGGAAAACATACAAGAGGAGGAAGGTTGACTTAAGAATGATGAAGACACGTGAATACACAGAGAGGGAGGTAATGAGGGCTAAAGGGGGTAAAGGTAAATAGTGATATATACACAACCTCGGAACAACAGTGTTCTACACATAGATACATAGATAAACAGGCAGAACAGGTATGGGAAGAAGAGTGGGAGTATAACCACAAATATACAAGGATTTGAAACTGGATATTTGCACATGAGTATTTACTTCTGCTACAAACACACCTATGAATGTGACGGAGTATGGTGATGGCGGGGGTGGTATGCCATGGAGTCTGTTCAGACTCATAGTGACCCTGTATATGGTTTCCAAGGCTTCCGTAAATCTTTACAGAAGCACAAAGTCTTATCTTCCTCCATGGAACAGCTGGTAGTTTCAAACTGCTGACCATGAGGTTAGCAGCCCAACTTGTAACAACTATGTTATCAGAACTGTGGTGGAGCATAGAGGATGCAAAATGATGAAAACTTCTTAGATATTATTAAATCTCTTAAGGCAATGAGTTACTGGGCCTGGGGTCCCAAGATCATGCTCTCAGAGGATACCATGGTTAACCGGCATAACATAGTCCACAAAAATTATGTTACTATTTTGGTGAGCAGCGTCTGTGATCTTAAAAACTCATGAGTGGCTATCTAAGGAGCAACTATTGGTCTTTCCATGTGTGAAAGAAAAAAGAGCAATGAGAATTAAAGATTACTTAAATCCATTAGTCCAATGGGCTAATGGCACATGTGAACATCAGTCTCCATGAGTATGAGACCAAAAGAACTAGATGGTACCCAGCTACCTCCACCAACTATTCTGAAAGGGATCACATTACAAAGTCCTGTATACAGTGGGAGAAAATGTGGAACAAAACTCAAAAGGATAAAAATAAGACCAGACTTACTAGTCAGAAAGAGACTGAGAGAACCTGAGAATATGACCCTTGACCACCCTTGAGATCTGGAACTGCCCTCACCCTTGTGGCCCAATTTTCATCCAACTGTTGTTGTTGTTGTCAGGTGCCATCGAGTCGGAAC